GAATGAATATTCCCAATAAACCATTATACAAATTATCACTACTAGTAACGCAGAAGCTCAGCCTGTCGTGGATATTTCTGAGAAGACCATTTTTGTACAAAAGTTAAGAACCAAAGTAAAACAGAACATTGTCACAATAAATATTATACTTTACAACTGACTTAGGGCACTAAACAATCATAATTAAACATTATAGAAATAGACTTTTCATTTTCAATGTAAAATCTCTCACAGCAAAAATGAGGTAACTCAGAAAATAAATTGTATAAGTCTACTACAAAAGGTACTTATGTAATTCATCAATCTTACAGTGGTTGATTCACAGTTCAATAATTACGAAAATTTTAATATGTTGTATAGGAAATCATTCTTTGGTGTGGATATTATATATTTGACATTTATTGACTATTCTACAGTTTGTTTGCTTATACTCTCAGTGCTCCATTTCACTTTCATTGTAAATCCTTAACGATACATGTAAGGGACTCTATGGGTCCGGCTCCGACGATCCATTGCTCGAAATCTTATAGGCCCTTTTAAATCATGCCTTTCATTGTCAATGAAATTAGGTATTGGAGAATTCATTATAGAATCTATATCATAAGATGTAGATTCAAAATTTATCCCAAGACCTTGATACTGATTTTGGGCAGATGCCTCAAGAGAGATATCCAAACAAAACGAGTTGTTGCTCTCATCTGATATGAGAGATAAATTGGATAGATCACCTTCAGAATATTCATCTGTATATCCTGGAAAATATGAAAACAGTTATTCTTACATGCATTATACAACTATTCTGACATAATAAAAAACTACACAATTAGATTAGTTCACAATTATGTGGGTTCTAAAGAACTGGAACATTATAAATAAATCTTTTCTTCAATTTTCACACAAACAACTAAATAAAATATTTGCTTTTGAAATAAAAATAAAACACTTTCTCGAAAACATGTTTTACTTTCACACACACATACACAATACTTACGTAAGTACAGACAAAGGATTGTAATGAGGATGCAAAAAGACTGATTTTTAACACAAAAACTCATTTTGTATGTCCAATATTTAAAAGATTGATAATTATTGATCCTATATGTAGTAAATAACATAATCATGTGTACATAGAATCCATGTTTTGTGGGCCCTTGATACTGAAAAATTGTTTTTTTCCAAAATAGCTTTTTTTTTTAGCGAAGTAAACTTATAAAAAGGCTCAGGACCGATTTTCAATGAACTCTTAAATTTTTTTAAATTGTAAGAGTCACAAATACTCTGAGAACATAGTACCACTAGTTTCTTTTAGAAACCTATTCTTAAGTACTAGAAAACTGCATATTAGTTACTTACTGCATATTTTTTCAATAAAGAACACTGAAGTGGTAAAGTACTTACTTTTAGAATATTTGATTTTGTCTTTGATCGTTTTCCTAAGAGGAGAAAGCATTACTTTTTCTTGTTCAATGAATCTTGATATTTGGTCCCTCTTTATGGGATAGGGTTTCCCTTTTGAAACTTTGATTGCTACACTTTTTACACTGGGTGCTTTAGGCAAGTCTACCTTCAGAGCTGTGCTTTTCAACTCAATGACACTTCCTTTGAACCTTTCAACAGATTCATCCTTGATGTTACCTGGTAGCTTTATGTTGAATGCAACACCTGCAATAAATTTAATGATTATTTCTGAACACACGTGGTGGACATATAACAGAAATATAGGCATACTTACATATGTGCGTAAGAATAAGATTAGTAACATGACGTACTGCATGGGGTAGCCAATGAACACCATCCCTTGCTCGCCTGATCAGCAATTAATCATGCACAAAAACAGGATGAAAAAGTTACATATTCCCTCCTCAAAATCAAGAATAAATAATAAAGAAATGAAAGAAAAAATGTATGTTACCTACTGTAGTACTTCCTTCTCTTGCAGATTGAAATGCACAACAAAATGATTGATAAACAAGGAAGTTGAAAACATTGATTTTGTTAAACAGGAACATATATACAAAGTTAAACTTACCAATGTAACTGCATTCTCAGATAATAGTGTATGTCTAACACATCAAAACCATGAGAAACTACCACTTCACGAGCAAACATGTTGCCTTCCATCACATCAAATCTTAAGGAATGTTCCAAAAATTGAACCTATAAAATTAATGTTTACATTAACAGAGATCTCGCATGGATTTGAGAGGAAGAAATAAACTTACTTGTTTCACCAGGAGCCCACCACTGCAATGATTAGATATAGGAGGAACACAAGTCCAAATGAACAATGTTTCATCAGGAAGACAGGATTTTACCAACTTCATCAGTTTAACCATATTATCCTTGTAGTTCAATACTCCATTTGGACCCCATCTGCAAATAGGAATAAAGAATTTTCAACGAAATTTCGCCTTCTTTCGAATCAGAAAAAAATTGAAATGAAACTAATCTGCAGGGTTGTCAGGAAAAACATTATCTGTTATGTTGTACAAATTTTCACTCACCTACATATATCCCATAAACAAGAGTTCATTATTATAATGTCAGGATATGACTTTTTGTTCTTAAATGAAAGAAATAATTCTCGCACTCCTTCAGTAAAACACTTTGTAAGAAAATGATATTTTATATGAACATTTTTCTTCTGAAAGATGGAGAAGTAAATCTTAGAAAAATACATGTCTAACAGTTTGAAGCAAAAAACAAAAGACAGTAAAAAAGAAAGTACTTTATATTCCCGGACTTCATAGTAGTCTCTTCCTTTGTGTAACTGTGAATTGCTGATGATTTTATCATTGGGTACAACTGAACCCAACTACATCAGATCCAAGGGAATAAACAAAACAAACAGAAGTTACAAGAAAAGGCAAAAGACCAATTAAAAAAGATTAGTAATTTCGATACAATTTCCAACAGTTCTAACATTTTGCAAAGCACCTATCCCTATTACAAAAGCGATTCGCCTATAGTTTAGATCATATAGTAAGTACCACACCACAAAAAATGGTCACACTAAGATGCAGTAAATTTAAAGCCGCCATGAAAGAATTAACAGCCAATATTTTTTATCTATTCTTGAATAATAACATTACATAATTTACCTTATTCTTCAAAGACTTCTCTGACAATAATCTATTGTTTTCTAAAAGAAATACTAAATCTTTGTAAAAAGATCGAACATCTGAAAAGGGAAAAAAAATGAAATATCATAAATTCAACATTAATAATGTGGCAAGGAATGTTGGGTACACCAACTCATTTTTTTCTTTTCTTTTGTTCTTATGTCTGTCTTTAATTGAAATGTGCACAGTAGATATCCAATTATCTGAATTTAACAAAGTATTGTCCTATTTAGATGATTAGAAATAGGTCAGAAATAAATTTGAACAAATAAACTTCAAAAACTGAATTATCAAAATAAATACATACTTCTTGCATTGTTCCTGACTTATCCAATTTTAGAAAGTTCAGTGACAATGCAAATGAAACCTGCACCCTTCCTTACGCAACCTTTGCTCAATGCACGAAGAAAATTCATTTTTCAGAATTTTCACTTGTGCCTTTTTACAATTCAAAAGGAATTCAGAAAAGCATTTCAAAGAGACACTGTCACAAGTAAAACAAATTTGTACCATCATACCATATGGCCATGTGGAATCAAGATTACAAATAAAAAATATTGTTTCCACACACATTAAGTTTTAATGTAAATAATCAAGCTAGAATAAAAATATGAATCATTTTAATTCTTTTTTTTAATAATTCCTTTTAAATAGGATTTTGCATTGTAAAAAAGTTTTGGAAAAAATAAATTCCTTTTTTCTGCCTATTTTGCAATGCTAAATTTTTTCTTTATTTTCGAAAATACAGAATAAGTTCGCTGAAAATTGTGCTAAAAACAGTTTTTTTAACTGTCAATTTGTACACATGAGGGGGATTTGGGGTCGTTTTTTATTTTCTATTATATTGCAATAACTCCAATCGGAAATTAAACGCACTTTTTTTTTTTTTTTTTTCAAATAATTGTACATAACCTTATTGAAATATCTAATTGTTACTTTCTCGCTTTTCTTTGTAAGGGAAGTATTATAATAGAGACAATTACCTATTTCTGTCTGTCCGCCTGTGTGTATCTGTCTGTCTGTCCGTCCGAAAATATACTGCGATGTTCGCAGGAATTGTTTTATAAAGATCTCCCTCCTACAGAACATGAAAAAAGTTCCGTTTCGCTTTGGAGGGGTTCGGTTTTAAGCTGTGTAAGCATTTAACTTCACGGGCCAGAGAAATTTTCCGGTTAAGGCAGGTTTCCGGCTTGTACAAGCTCCTGCTCAGACAGATTTTACTGTACTGTACGGTAAATATTGAAACAGAGAGCAAGAATCCTTAGTCATAAAGCTGTCGTAGTCATAATTTAGCGTACAGTGCAGAATTAACATATAAATTGACCCCTCTTCTGTAGTAATACAAAAACTGTGCCTGTATGTCATTATAAAAGATTTAATGACTTTTTGTGTAATGTCCTGATTTTTTCAACTAAGTCTCTGGTAACTCTAAACACACGTAACTATGCTTTCTTGAGTCACCTGGCCTATCCGCGATTCGTCGTTAACGTGGAAACGGGGCATCCAACGTAATCGGCGCCCTCGACAGCACGGAGCATCATCCAGTTTGAACGTGGGAAGGTAGGCTCTGAAGCATCGATGACCCGACAGAAGCTGCGTAAGAAGATAATGCACCCCGTGCTTGTACTTTCGATCCTCCCACAGGAAACAGTAATTCTGCTAGTGGTTCCAAGCAGTTTTGCATCCCGTTTCCTTAGCCAAAACGCCTCTGCCGTTCACGAATCATTGTACCTACAGGGGTCATCCCTGCTATCGCAAACACTGCTTCATTTGAGCGCAGACAGCTGATATTTCACGTCGCTCCGCTTCCGCATTCTGCGTATCTTCACAAGTGGATCCTCTTTCACAACTAGACCTTTCAGTGCTCGGCACACGAACCTAGGGTAATAATTACCCTGCTTCTTTCCCCTTTCTATGTAAATATCACTTGATTTATTTAAAATACAAATATCCAAGGTCTCCCATGCCCTGGATTGCTCAGTATTACGTGAATCGTTGCGCGCCAAAGAAAATTTATATCGAGTGTCGACAGACATGCTCACACGGGATTTCAAGTATGAAATATGACGTAAAACTTTTACTCGTTTAAATTAATTTATTTAAATAAACTAGTGGTGCAATACAATGGCACAGAATTACTCGTATTAGGTTTCTGTTTTCTTTCTTCGCTAGGTATATGGGGTTGCCAGACACCCCTGCAAGCTGTCATCTGTCATCTATCGCCGTCCAAAGTGTATTTTTTTATTAGTCAATTTTTCGATTTGCTAATTGTATAACAAATATTTTACTTGAAGAATGTTACTGAAGAGTAAAACATAACGCAATTTTCTTTGAACAATTTGGACTCATTTTTAAGAAAATGATGGCTAAGCGTCAGTAGATCAAAAGCATTGAAGCTCTTTTTCGTACAATACTTTTTAGTTTTTGAAAAAGCTTCATTTTAAGACGCACTTCAACTTACAAATGCATCACACTTGTCAACGCACGTTTCTTTTTTGCTGGCACAGTCCACGTGGTTGTAGAGAACAATCGCCTGTAGATAACGATGCCGAGGAATTTTATTGCAGGGTGTGATGAAAATCGATCACTATCTTGGAAGGCGATGAATGCTCTTCTCTTCCTGCTCGTTACAAGCATCACTTCTTCCTTGTTCGGCAAGCTACAATCCTTCGCTCGACTGATCAGAGTAGTAATTGCTTCATTGAAGATGCACTCTCCCTCCTTTAAACATTTTGCAGCGTCGACGATGGGAATGTCGACGGTGAAACCTGTCATTTTGGTTTCTGCTGGAGTGGGAGCCTCAGGGCATCGTACATCATATTTCACAGCAGTGGACGCAGTACCGAACCTTGTGGGACGCCGACGGTGATGATGTGTACGTTTGGTCCATCATCCGTATTGTACACTATAATTCTGCGATTGAGCTATTCAACCACTAAAACCTCAAGTACGTACGCACATTGATTCCGTGGAGTGCCTTATGAATGGCATTTCACCGTTACGAGTTAAAGGCATTATTTTTTTGTTACATTTTTAGGCCTTTTCCATAACCTCTATCTAATGGCGTCCCCGGCATTGTCAACGATACGCTGAACAGCGTCGACTGTCGGGCGAGTCTTCCGGAAGCTATACTGCGTTTCTGAGTCATTTTTCTATTGCTTCTGCCCATCTTGACTTAATGATATGATCTATAACCTTTCCCGCAGTATCGAGAATATACAGCAGCCAATAAAACGCCGGCTCTTCAGGAGGTCCTCCCCCCCCCTTTGGAAGAACTCTAAGGAAATATCCCTTCTGTCAAATATCAATCGAAGAATTCCGCGAAGACTTCACTAAGAGCGCGTATCGCAGTTTAGACAGCGATGCTGGGAATACTATCCAGTCCTCGAGCCTTAGCATTACCAAGTCTCCTGATTACGTAGTACTAATCATGCATCCCCAGTTACTGGTATCATATGTGTGGCATAATGATGTTGGTCAGCTCGACAAGGTGGTGTAGGAATAAAGTAGTCAACATCGTACAGATGCAATAGCAGATTTGGAGACTTGGTACGCGACTTCATAATGTTGCCCATGATCATGTAGTACGGCCTAACCCATACATCTTTATTTACTTCGTTGCTTAGACATTTAGAGAAAATGCTTACTTTCCTGAAATGCGATCTTCAACTGGATTCTGGCCAGTTTGTATTGTTCTTGCAAATGAACCATGATATCTACGAGTTTGCTGGCAGCCACCTACCTCGGAGCCAGGGTCGATGCTGTACATGTCTTCGTTCCACCAGTAAAACTTGTAAATGTCGGCGGTTTGTTCCTCTTCTGATTATAGTTGCATCACAAGCTCTGCCAAAATCTGTAATTTGGCCAATCTTTGTCTCTGACGTCCCTGTTGGTACAATATTTTCCAAACAAAGGCGGAAAACTTCCTCTCAAATGCTTTAGATTTCCATTCTCTTACTGTACATCCCAGTCCAACATTTGCCTCGTGTGAGATTTTTACTTCCTAAACTCGTACCTTCCTTCTTCATTCACCCTGAGCAACCACCTATAGGCATTACATCGCGAGAAGTGGAATAGTAATAGTCACATAATATATCTATTCCATCTTTATTTAACGTCAAAAACAGTTAAAAACTCTGTGTGACGTCTTGGTAATAGTAGAATGGAATCAGATTCCTCTTTCTTTCTCCGGTCATCTTAATTCCAGCAGCACTTGTAAAATATCATACATCGGCTTCCAACTGCTTTCAGATGTAAAACATGCAACTATGCTTTCTAGTCATCTGGTCTATCCTAAGCACCACAACAATGATTCGTCGCAGAGGGTCGAAATGTGGGCACCGAAAAAACACGTGCTCTGGAATCTCGAAAGAAGGTTCGTACACAGGACAGCACATGGCATCTAGTTTGAACCTGTGAAGGTAAGCTCTGAAGCATCCATGACCCGTCAGAAGCTGCGTGAAACAATGTACCTCACCGTGCTTTCGACTGTTCCACAATTCAACCGTGGGAATCAGTCTCTAAGTGCACCTTCCCTTGGAGGAATTGCCCATCGCTGCTGCCAACCTGCTAGTAGTTCCAAGCAGTTTTACCTCGTCTTCTTTGTCAAAAGTCTCTGCCATTCACGAGCTGTTATTTACAAGTTCATCCCGACTATGTAACAAAATGCTTCCGTAGAGGCAGTACAGATCGCACATGCTACCCCGAGCGCAGATAGCCGATATACTGCCATTACTCGTACGTAGCTGCCATTACTCGTACGTGTCTGTAGAGGTGGGAGCAGAACAGATGATGGCGGAAGCAAGCAGCTTTCTCTTTTCATGACTAGGCCCTTCTCTGTGTCTATATCTGACTCTGTGTGTATCTGCCTGTCTGTCTATACATGACCCTGCGTGTGTCTGCCTCTCTATATATGACCGTGCATGTGTCTGCCTGTCTGTCTGTATCTGACCGTGTACGTGTGTGTCTGCCTATATCTGCCAGACAGTCTATATCTGACCCTGCATGTGTCTGCCCATCTGTCTATATCTGCCTGAATATGACGTGCATGTGTCTGCCTGTCTATATCTGACTGTGTGTGTCTGCATGTCTGTCTTTATCTGACCCTGTGTGTGTGCCTGTCTATATGACCATGTGTGTGTCTGCCTGTCTATATCTGACTCTGCATGTATGTCTGACTAATCTAACTCTATGAGCACATGATTTTTCCCAAACCTGCAAACTTTCTCTTAATTTTTATATCTTTTTCCCTCAAACTTGTCTGATTTTCTTTTATCTTCTTAATTTTCGAAAATTGCACATGTTCACCTTTCTTTTTAAACTCTCATGGAGGTTGTTATGCTGACTCTACCATTCGAGTTGTGCTTTCATTAAAGAAAATATTATTTTCACATTACTATTATGGAATGCTAAAAAATACATGCAATTACCACAAAGTCTCAAGGAATATCTGGGCCATAATTCTGTTTGAAGTATTCTACCAATATTAGATGATATGGCAATTTTGTTAAATCCTCACAATCAATATTTTGCTAACAAATTCTTTCAAATTACAAAATTGATCGAAAGCTTTGTCATTAGCCATACATCCATTATTCTTGTTCAGAAGTTTGACACAAGTTTCCTCAATTCTCAGATGAACAATTTTGTGGTTAAAATGAAAATGTGCCGTTATGGTTTACTTTCTTAAAAAAAAAGAGACAACAGAGAAGTTGGGAGAAAAAAGAACAAGGACAAAAGGGCAAGCACGCTTACTTTACCTATGCATGGTACTGAGCCTATAATGCTTTAATTCACTGCTCATGACCTGGGCTTTTGAAGTTGTCAAGTTGTCAATATGAAGCTACTTTCACTAGTAAAACTTGTTTACAAGTGGGGCCCAACTACTACAGTTTATAATGGATTTGGTGAGCCACTTCCTGCAACTTTTTCTCTACAAACCATAGACTTCTCTGAAATTTTTGTAGCACCATCATATTCTCAGTAAACTCATTTTCCATTACCAGTCTGTCAATACAGATTTTAATGTTAACAAATTTCTTTGAAAATGTCAAATAATGGGAAAATATTATCTACTACCTTTATTATAATTGGGCTTCAGATAATTGGAGTTCTTGAATATCAATTAAAGTTAATATACGAGAAAGCCTGCTTAATAGAGACAAATAAAATGAAGACAATGGAGAGACTGGGAAAGGGAAGTACGGCTATGCAAAGCAAAGGCTACCATATTATTTTTATACATACTTGAATCTCCCAGAAACAAGATTTTCTTGTTTTCAAAAACCAGCCTTGCATCATTGGTTGAAAACAGGTCACACATTTCTAGTACACCTGATAAAGAATTAAGGAGACTATTATACACAGTACCTTTACTAGCAATATTACATACACACACAAATCAAATATAATCACTCTTCTACAAGTTAGGTCTACACATTTCAGATCACAACACACAAAAGTAAAATGGGAGTTCAGGTATCAAAAAGTCAGGCTAATCCTGGGCTATACAAAAACTACTGCCACTGAAGTGTGTATTATTGAACTACAATGAATATATTATAACTGAAATTCTACAGCTAATTCATTAAATTACCGTTAATACGGCAAGAATCAATACCAGTTCAAACCTACACGGTCTGAATTAATTTTGTCTGTTACCCCTAGTTGTCAAGATTCACTTTCATATATCTCTTTCAATGTAGGTTTCTTCTCTGCGCTAGCTCACATACCACCTTAATTGATGTCGTGGACCACTAGTGGTACATGATTCACCATCTAGAAATCCATAAACTAGATTGTTAATACTAAGGTAAGGTCAATGATGTTTTTGTACTCCAGGAGCACTTTAACACTACATATATATCAGAACAGAAATACTGAAACACTCCGATCTAATGTGAATGTTGATGTCGGCAGTTTCATCTGAGGAAAAACAGTACAATTCCAATTATCAGGATTATACATCACACGTACCTGAAAGAATAAACCTGATAAATTACATTCGAACTTAATTGAAAGAGGCAGAATGTTGCAT